CCCCCCCCCGCTAGCTCTAAGGCTGAAAACTAAGCAATCAGCCACTGTTGATCGCTCAGTTCTCCTCACCACGCTGAGCAGACAGTGATGGCTGTCAGTCACTGCTGTCTGCTCTGTCCCCCCAAACAAGCTTTGTCTGTACTTCTCCTTTAAGTCCCTTGAAGGTATTTAAAAAAAATAGCTTTACCTTATTCACTTAGCAAAATAACCATTTAGCCCCTGTTTCCATACTTCTAGCCTGATGTGTACCCTTTAAACCCCAAAACCTTCATCTGCAGGAATAAACAATACATATGGGAGATTTTTTGACTTTTTTTTACACTGCTGAGTGCTGCCCATGACACACACACCTACCTGCATCTCCAGTGGTCTGACATGAACACTGCTCTAATTAACAGTGCTCTCACTACCTAAGCAGAACTGTTAATTGGAGTAGTGTTCAGAAGGGTGGGGGAGGCATTTAAAGAGTTTAAAGAGTAATTCCACTTTAATTCAGAAAAAAACAATCCCCTCTGGATAATCTATCTACACTGTAAGGATTTTAACAAAATTTGTAGCAGAGTCCTACCTGTTTCTGTTGTTAAGAAAAACCTGTATGTTCAATTATGTCCTTGTAATACTAGGTCCTGAATGGGAATGTCTGAGTTCAATATATCAATCAGCTGATGTACTTGCAGTATTGTAATGAGGAAGGTCACAGTGTCTGCATCCCTTTAGAAGCAATCAGCCCTTAAGAAACATCTCAGCAAAAATATTCCCATTGCAGTGGATGCCTGAATTTCTACTTGTATCATAGTGCAGAAATCAGTAAGCCAAACACACAAGCAGGAAATGATAATTCTAGGGAAGTTTTGAACACCAACTATGCATAGAAGGCCTTCAGGTTGCCACATTACACTGAATTTTACAAAAAATTACAGGGATTACAGATTGAAAGAGAAAGGTAATTATTAATAACCTTCAATTACAATATGGCTTGTGTAGCAATTGTACACTCACCTGACACTTTATTAGGTACACCTGTTAAATTGCTTGGCAACACAAATTGCTAATCAGCCAATCACATGGCAGCAACTCAATGCATTTAGGCATGTAGATGTGGTGAAGCCAAATTGCTGAAGTTCAAACGAGCATCAGAATGGGGAAGAAAGTTGATTTTTAAGTGACTTTAAACACAGCATGGTTGTTAGTGCCAGATGGGCTGGTCTGACTATTTAAAAAACTGCTGATCTACTGGGATTTTCATGCAGGGTTTACGGAGAATGGTCAGAAAAAGAGGAAATATCCAGTGAGCGGCAGTTGTGTGGACAAAAATACGCTGTTAACGTCAGAGGTTAGAGCAGAATGGGCAGACTGGTTGCTGCGAAATTCAGAAGGTAGGGTGAGAATTTGGTGTAAACAACATGAAAGCATGGATCCATCCTGCCTTGTATCAACGGTTCAGGCAGGTGGTGGTAGTGTGATGATGTGGGGGGATATTTTTTTCTTGCACTAGCAAGACGTACTTAACAAAGCAGCCAGTGAATGCATATGCAATAATATATATTTTTTATTATTTGCTATCTTTTCACAAAGGTGGAGTTATCCCTAAAGTCCAACTCCAATAAAAAAAAGAAAATATATACCTTTGCATTGCCCCCTCACACTGCAAATTTAAATGTTGGTTATGTCTAGGGGGTACAAGAACAGACAGCATTACTTACCCTATCTCAAACTCCATCTGGCTCAGATGCTGCCCTCTTCTCCCCAAAACACTGGTATGCTAGCGGTCATTTAGCATTCTCACATACAACTGAGGGCTATTAACGCTACACTGTACATGGTGGGGGCAACTGCGAGAAAGCGAACATGAAGCTTAGAGAGGAGGCTGTGACTGACTGGTTACACTGCTGGAGTATTTTCCCTAATTCTGGCACCCCTAGACATACTGAGCATTTAACCTTTGCAATATTGGGTTGCCCCACTGCAAGGGTTTTTAATTCCTGGAGTTGGGCATATTTATTAGTATGCAACCTGCTTTACAATAATTAACCATTAAGGGTTCAGTTGGACTTTAAATGTCCTCAGGGAATGCAGTATTATTTGTTGTGATCCCCAGTTTCATCCTAACATTCGTCTTGTGTAGCTGGCTGCCTGCTTGCTAAATCCTTATAGTTGCCAATACCATTATTTTCTAAATGGCTCCCAGTCTCTGCCTGCTTAAGTATACTGCCCCATGTAGTTTTCAGAAAAAGAGCCTGCACAGCACAGAACAGTATGTCAGGAGGGTACAGTCCTGTCCAGATGCACTGAGAAAGCTCAATGAATCTGCAAAGGATGACACAGAACTCAGACCAAAGGCAATTCGAATTAATTTTCTGACAGATTAGTTGTTTGTTCTTTAACGAGGCAGCAAAGAAAGATCTATTACACCATGCCTCCGTGAGTCCTTCTATAGTTATGTCTTCACTAACAGTTTTAGGATATGCAGATGTTATAGGAGAAGACTGGAATCAATTAGAAACAACCAGACTGGAATAAAAAGGCAACATAGACATTTTCAGAGTGCCAGTGGCAAACCTTATGTTATAAATGTGCAGGGCATTGTTGTGTGTAACTCATTTTCTCTGTGGCATCACTCCTGTCATGAATCTCGGTGTACCAGCATATGTAGGATGCGGTAACCTAGTTGCTTGCTTTTAATCTCCAGAGTTATGTGCATTTTATAGTTTTCAAATTATCTGTGAAATTCAGCCGTGCTCTTTATAGCTAGAATTAAAAACCATTTAGTTTTTCTCTTAAACCACAGGTTGAAAAAAATACATTTATAAATTTCATTAATGCAGCTTTTATATGGTGTAAAACTTACTTTAAGCAGACTCAAGAAAGGCCTACTGATATGAGGGATCTAAAGTCAGCACTAGATTAACCTTTTTATGATAATTAGAGCTATCTGTTCAACTTTCTATAGCCTAGAGATCTTTTATAAATCAAAATTATATCTGAGCCAAACTTCATATATGTCACTCTTACTGTAGTAATAATTTACCCACCAAAATGTACAATATAAGATTATAAAACAAGCACATGATATGACAAAGAACTTAAATAAATAATTACTGACAGCTGCAGCTTTAGGGTGACAATGTTTCATTCCAAAAGTACTCAGGACTAATGGAAAAGACATAGTAGTTCAAGAATTCTTGACAGGGCAGAAAATTCTATTATAAATATGTGAATATTTTCCCCATCCTTATTTTTTTTTTCAGATTCACTGTTTTGAAAAAAAAAATGGTTTCCTTAAAATGCTGAGCCTGTAAGAGGAAATTAAGCCACCTCCTAGTAATGCCTCACATTTGCGGGTTCTAGACAACATCATAGTCTTTACACACAGAGCAAATCCATCTAGCTGTGCCCATCTATGTTGTTCCTTTGATTAATGAAACTTGCAGCTATTGTAAAATGATCTTTAACCTGTAATCTTCAGAGCTGATGCAGCGGACAATACATGAAAAAACAGTAATTTGGCTTTGTGTAATTTTACTGATGATATTTACTCTGATTGTAGCTCTCATTCAATTGGTTCCTCTTTGGGGAAGAACAAAAAGTGATTATCTGAGAAAATCCAACCTGTCTGGCCAATCCTCCACATGAAAAGGGTCAGCCAGAGGATGTCTGGAGAAATACAAATTCTACCAAGCCAACTAGATCAGGCAAAGATCATTTTATGTCTGTAAGCATATTTACATCTTGGAAAAATGTTCTAACTGCAAACATGTTCTTCAATAATGCTTGCTGTATACAAGCCATGGTGTTTAAACATTGAAGGCAAAGTTTACAATGGTGGAAGTCAAATGATGGGTGTTGTTGAAGAAGGCATGACTAAATATTTATAAATCAATGCCCCCCCACCCATCCCACAAGTAGCCCTATTCTGCAAAACAAAGTAACCTATCAAAAACATGTTTTTATTCTAATTACAAAGAGAAGGTATAACCCAGAAGGCATAAAATGAAAGACCTGCAGTTGCACAATAAAGCTTTCTTATAACAGAAGTTATTCGTATGTCTCATTCCATTACAAATCCCAAACATAAATGCATTATTCATTATTGGAATAATCCCTATTGAACCATGCATATTATACCTTTTTGACCCATGGCCAAAATCTAAAACCCTTGGTGTATAGTACAGATACAACCTAATATTACATACCCAATAATTTCCAAGCTGCAAACAGCGGTTTCATGTTTTTTAGCCATCATTATTGCAGTGTATGAACAATGTCTTCCATGAAGTAGAGCTTTGGACTCAACAGGAAAGTATCACCTAGAAGATTTTGGTTAAAAAAAAGCCAAACAGCTATCCACTAACCCAAAAAGTATATGTGTCTTAACAATGAATGAATATATATATTTATTCATCAATGTATCTTTTACAGTATATAATCCCAATTCTTCTGGCGGATGTTGGTACACTTCCTCTTCTTCCCAATATGCCATGAACAAGTTTGCAACACTCAGAGCAAACCTTGCTCCCACCGCGACTCCTATCACTTGCCGAAAAAAAAATAATTATTGTGCCAAAAATAATTGTGTGGAAGGCAAAAGTCCAGGCATTCTATCACAAATTTTCTCTGGGTCCATGTCAAATTACTATACTCCCTCAAGCCCCAACTGGTTGATTCTATAGCATCATCTTGGTCAATAATAGTGTAAAGGGCTGAAACATCTGCACTGGCCAGAAACATATCTGAGCCACCCTTCACCTCCCCAAGTTGTTGGATCAAGTGTTTCGTATCCCTTAACCACTAGCCTACAGGGCACTTATACCCCCTTCCAGCCAATTTCCAGCTTTCAGTGCTGTCACACTTTGAATGACAATTGCGCGGTCATGCAACACTGTACCCATATGAAATTTTTGTCATTTTTGTTGAGACAGATAGAGCTTTCTTTTGGTGGTATTTAATCACCTCTGGGATTTGTATTTTTTCTTAAACAAACCAAAAACCACTGAAAATGTAAAAAAAAAAGTTTTTCTTAGATTTTGTTATACAATTTTGTAAATAAGTGATTTTTCTCCTTCACTGATGTGCGTTATGAGGCTGCAGTGATGGGCGCTGATAGGCTGCACTGATGGACACTGATAGGTGGCACTGATGGGCACTGATGAGGAGGCACTGGTAGGTTGCACTGATGGGCATTGGCAGGCATCACTGATGGGCACTGAAATAGGCAGCACTGGCGATAGGCGGCACTGACTGGCACTGATAGGCGGCACTGACTGGCACTTTTAGGCAGCACTGACTGGCACTGTTAGGCAGCACTGACTGGCACTGATAGGCGACACTGACTGGCACTGATAGGCGGCACTGATGCGCACTGATAGGTGACACTGACTGACACTGATAAGTGGCACTGATGGCAGCACTGATAGGTGGCACTGATTGGCATTGATAGATGGCACTGACTGGCACTGATGGGTGACATTGAAAGGCAGCTCAGATGGGCACTGATATGTGGCATTGATGTGCACTGGTATGCACTAATATGTGACATTGATGTGGCACTGATGGCACTGACACGTGGCACTGATTGCTGGCACTGATGGACACTGACAGGTGGCACTTCTGGGCCACACTGATCATCAGTGCCCTGATGATCAGTGTACATGTCCCCTCTGCAGAAAGCCGATTACCGGCTCTCTTCTCCTCTCGAGCTGTCAGCGTGACAGCTTGAGAGGAGAGAAATGCCGATAACCGGCATTTCCGTGTTTACATGTCATCAGCTGTGATTGGACACAGCTGATCACATGACCGAGCCGACATCTTCGGCTCTTTCCGTGATCCGCTGTGTCCGAGGGACACATCGCACCGGCGATTGCCGCGCGCTGCGCGCTTCCTGAGCCGCGCATGCGTGCTGAGAATGGAAGGACGTCATATGACGTCCTCCCAGAACGAGAGAACCACCTTGCGCCCGTCATTGTACTATATGGCGGGTGGAAGGTGGTTAAATAAAATCTGGTATTCTTTACTAATGGTTGAAGATACATATCTATGTATTGCCCTAATCTTGCTAATACTGACTGTATACCATTTACTATCAGTCTTCCCGGTGGATTACGGTGATCCTTATGTATTTTTGGAACCGTAGAAATAAATCGGTATTCTACAAGTTTCTGGTACTAGATATTTTGATTCCTTTTTATTAAGTACATTCTTTTCAACTCCCTTCTTCACTAATTTGTCGAGTTCTTTCTTGTATTTGATGGTAGTATCTTTGGGGAGTACTTGGTAAGTGGTTGTATCCCCTAACTGTTTCCAATAGATAGTATTTCTTTGATAGAACCTCTATACCCCCCCCCCTTTATCCGCTAGTCTCACCACTATATTATCCCTTTTAGCTAACCAATTGATTCCCACTTGCATCCCAATATTGTGCGTCATCTTGGGAATTTTTAACTTTTCCAAATCTTGATTGACCATTCTTTTAAAAACTTCCACCTGACTGTTATTAGTAATTTGCAGGTTAAAAAGTGATTTGTTCTGTAGTTTAGTATCTATGATCTCCCTGCTAGGGGCATTTGCAATGATGTTTTTAGCTCCTGGCAGACCCAGAAAATGCTTCTTGATATTCAATTTCCTTATATATTTTTGCGTGTCTACATATATATCAAATTTGTTTGCAGGTTTGGGTGGGGCATATTTAAGACCCTTATCTAGTATCATAAGTTTTTCCTTCGTAAGAATGGATTCACTTAAATTAAAGACCCCTTCCCAATTATCTCTTTTTCTTTTGTTCTTTATATTCTGCTCTACATCCGCTCCTCTTGGAGGACTTCTCCATTTTTCCATTCCTGGACCCCTCTCCATCCTGTCCCTCTCTAAAAAATTCCTCTGTGGATAATCGTACCTTAATGGCTCATATTTATTGTGCAAAGGTAAGGGGCTCCTCCCCTCAAACCTAGGTTGATTCCATCCTTCATAAGAATGCCTTAGTATTGCCTGTTGTCAGGTCTATGATAGTAATAAGGTCTCTAAGGTGGATGGTCTTGGGTAATAATTTGGTCTATATGGTTGGTAAATAGGATCTCCAATTATTACCATTACCTTTACCCTGTGTTTTTTTGTAAAATGAGCCCCCATTTCTTGGTTTCCATCCATTTCGGGGTGTTTGGTACATAGATGCATTGTTGGGATAATTAGGTTGGTAATTACCTTTTTAGGGCCCCTATAGGGTTCCCTATATTGATTTGGGGGTAATCTGGTCATTTCTATTTTGGTTTCTTTGACAGGAGTAGTAGTGGCTGATATTACGTCCATGTCATTCATAGGGGACTGCCATTTAAAAACTTGATCTTTTAAAAAACTTTAAATCCCTTTGATATTTCTTAGTCTTCCTGTATTTGACCTCTTGATCTACTGTACTTTCTCTACGTCTTTATTCAGACGTTTAGTAAGACTAATCGTCTCTGGAGACTCTTTTAATGGTTCTATTTTTTCTTTAATTTCTCCTATCTGTAGATATAGGTTCCTCATTTTTTTCTGTTTCCTTTTCAGTAAAAATTTAATTAATTCCAACCCTTTTTTGTGGAAAAAGTAAACCATTCTTCTGTGAATTTAGGGTCTAAAATGCCATCACATATGGGTATATTCCATCTAATCACAGCACAGTGGCTAAATGGTTAGCACTTCCGCCTGGCAGTACTAGGGTTGTTGGTTTGAATCCCAGCCACAGCACCTCCTGCCTGGAGTTTGCATGTTCTCCCTGTGCCTGTGGGGGTTTCCTCCGGGTACTCCGGTTTCCTTCAACACTCCAAAGACATGCTGGTAGGTTAACTGGATCCTGTCTAAATTGGCCCTTGTATATGAATGTGAGTTAGGGACCTTAGATTGTATGCCCCTTGAGGGTTAGGGACTGATGTGAATGTACAATATATATGTAAAAGCGCTGCATAAATTGACGGTGCTATATAAGTACCTAAAATAAATAAAAAAATAAAATCTAAGCCTAGGCACTAGTCTATGCTTTAAATACTTTTCATGTGTTACCATGTCCCACCATGTGGCCACTTTTTTTTCAATTAAATGTCTGAATATTCTGTATTGGGTATCTAAATCCCCAGTCGGTCCATATTCAGGTTTACTAAAAATATCTTCCAGATTAATGGACCTATTTTCTATAAACCCAAACACTTCCATGTTAACAGCTTGAGGTAAAAGGTAAGGATATAAACAAAAAAAAATATAATGTGATCCTCCTGCGCTTCTAAATAAATATTAATAGTGATAAATAATTAGTATAAGCTGCTGACACCCAATCCTATACCCATAGGTGTAAATGCATACAATAAATATATAAATAAATAAATTTGGTGTAGCGCTATTCCTTAATATAATTGTAAACCATATTAATAAACATAAACATACATAAAAAAAAAAAAAAATATATATATATATATATATATATATATATAAAATATTGGGGTTTTTGTTTGTGTCATTTTGACATTTTCACACTATATTGGGCCCAATTGGGACCAATCTGTTTTTTTTCACGAATTCTGTGTCACGTGTAGGTGTGTCACAATAGATCCCTAGAGGATCAGATCACTTTGGATTCATCACTATATTTATATATATATATATATATATATATATATATATATTTATTTTTTATGTATGTTTATGTTTATTCATATGGTTTACAATTATATTAAGGAATAGCGCTACACCAATTTATTTATTTATATATTTATTTATTGTATGCATTTACCAACCTAAAATAGATACTTTGAAAATACAAATCACATAGACACACTGCTGCCTTCTTTAAAGAAAAAAAATAATAGAAATAAAATTGGTACTATGATAAACAAAATACAAAATTAAGCAACATAATCACTTTCAGTGTGACTCTAAGAGCAGTATAAATACTCTAGCCACACAGCACAATTATTTATAGATCAGTTCCTCAAAAAAAGAGTAGATAAATCTGGCTTCAAAATAAAGACTAAAGGCTATGCGTTATATGCGTCATGAGTCTTGGTAGCTATAAGCCGCTCACCCATACCCACATGCCTGGCTCATTAGGACGAGGGGTTGTGCCTGTGCAGACGTTGCATCCTCATAGACATGAATGGGCTACCTGCATGCAGTACCTGCTAGTTAGGAACAGGTAAACAAATGGCACATTCATGGGATATGGGCCTCAGCACTCATGTGAATGAGGCCATACCTATGCTTCTTCTCTCTTCTCTGTAGCATTGACCACTATTGACATGGTCACATTTTGACTGCATCTGTCATCTAAATAAATATGGTCCCTGAAGGGACCTGCATAGTACTTGTACATCTAACTGCCCTCTTAGGTCTATGAACTGCAAAAGAAGTGTGGTCCCTGTGATAATTTACATTTCTCTGGTAGCTACTGTGGTACAATTTACATTATCTAATTATCGTTGTCTTTTCGTATATCAGAACCATCATGTTCTTTGTATAAACAGAATTAAAGAAGTTTAATAGAGATCAACATATGGTTTGCCAAAGCATCATATATCAAAGACAACTGCCGTTCTTTAATAAATACTTTAATTTTTGCATTTCTATTGCATCTCATGAGGTATATGCTTTTATATTTTTATTTTCTCTTTCTTTCTCCCCATTGGCTAACTTAGCATTGGTAAAGGACCAAGGGCATATGGCGTACTCCCTACAAAATATCAATACAGTTCCATGTATGTATGCTTTATAATTTAGGGAAAAAAGTGAGATATTCCTGTTTTTGCTGCCTGTTTGCTGCCACTGCCCTGCCCACAATTCAGTAGTTATAAATCACCCAGGGCCCCTCCAAATAGACACCGAGGCCACCTGGGCCACTGCAGAGAAAGATTGAATCATAACAACATACAGAATAAGCCCAAAATGGACAGGGAATACTGGTTAGTGTTACACATTGCGGGGTGAACAAATTAAAGACCCACTGTTGTGATTATATATTAATTATATATATATGTCTTCAAAGTATTTTGGGGGTCAAACCAGATAGATACTAAGATATAATACCAAAAACTCATATAAATGTATGTTGCCTTTATACAAGTACTAATATAGATATCAGTTCTTAAGGTAGAATTAAGGTAGAAGACAAAAACAGTTATCTCCAAAGATGCATATTACTAATTAGGTACAAAAGCAATGTTAGAAGGAAATGTTAGAATGAAAGAAGGAAAAAAAACACCCCCCTTAAAAGTATTGATGTATAAATTTTGCTCACCTAAGCGGTTCAAAATATTGAGCAGCAGTCTGTGGGGACGGAAAATATCTGCCAGGGAGAAAGAGTCTTGACTCAGGTCCAAAGGCTTTATATATATGGGCAGAGCCAAAAATGTATCCAATCCCCAGGCAGCGATTGAAATAACTAGATGGTCAGTGAAGTTGGTGCTCAAAATGGCACCCAAACCCTAATCCCCCATTGCCCAATCCATAAGTGATGCCAGGCTGCAACCCCTGATGTTCCGCCATGCGGGATAACGTCATGCATCGATGGATTGCCGACAAGCAACAAACATGGCCACTGGGGCGGGGGTTGTGCAGTGGCAAAGCCCAAGATGCAAAAGCCACTTTGCCCCCAGCGGCCAAATACGACAGCCGCACTCACCAGTTAACATAACTCTCAGTGGCACAGCCTGCGCGTGCCAGGTGTTAGAAGAAAGGGTCAAAACGACACTAGGTTCGATCCCCACCAAAAATGCAGGCACGGGGTGGA